TACAGCGCGCATGCCCAGGAAGGCCATGAAATGTGCTAGCAGACGCAGGGGCATGGGCGGAGCGTGTAACATGGCCGCTCGGGGTTGCCAAGGCCCAAGATATGTGAGGAGTTTCTAGCGTTTTCTGGGCGAAACACCGTCCATGCGCCGTCAAGAGAAATATATTCCCAATATATCCATATAGATATAAGTATGATACTAATACTTATTTGCTCCCAAGGGTGTGGGAACGTATTCTAAAGTTAAGCCAATGTTTCTCATTTCAAGTTGATGGTGGTCTGTAGTTGAGCATTTCACAGTTCCATTGCACAGTGTGATAAGCTGAGGGGCATGGCTTGCCCATATTTGCCAATTGCCTGGTTTAAATGCTCTGAGTTTTATCTTGGTATAAATTTTCTTGCAATGTGCTCTGTACATGATGATCAATGGGGTCTGTATTAAGGCCATCAGGTAAAAACATGGGAAGTTCAATAACATCTAGCACTTCATTTTTCTGGAAATCTACAATTGCTCAAAATTTCACCATGTTGTTGGAAGACAAAGTTTGCTCCTGATACTTTGTGAATATCTAGCAGAACCTGTGAAGATAGTTTTTCTAAAAGAATGCAAACCCTGCTATTTACTTTGGACTGGTAGATTTCAAGAAAAGTTACATTAAACAAAATCCAGAGCATTGAAGATTTGAATGGAGCTATCATTGGTTCTTGGCAAGCCACATCCCTCCATTCATTATGGCACACAGGCACATGTTACAAGACATCACAGAACAGAAAGGGAGACATATTAAGTATTTGTATTAGTGAAATAAAAGGAAATTATGGTACAGAACATTATTTTTGTTTGATAGCTGCCTCTTTTGTTTGTTATAATAGTGCAGGGTGTATCAGAATAGACTCTTTAAATTTGGTTGTTCACAACTCTAGAACTAATGATAGAAATGTAAAACAAGCTTCAACACATTGACCTGACTATACATAATTTGCAGTAATAACATGAAGATGAAATGATTTTCAAAAGCCTTCAAACTATTCACTGAGAACATTAAGACATTCATGACAGCACTTGGGGATGTCACCAAATACATGATCCTGATGCAATACTCTGTAAGAGTCAAGTCAGGACCAATTGAATGGCCTCCACGATCCCCATGACTTGACTGAAACTTTCATGGAAGCACCCACTATAAGTAATAGAGGGTCCAGAAGACATTTGCAATACAAAGCATGAGGTTCATTGCCAATATCCAAGTCTCATGATCCCTCTCAAGTGTACCCATCTCTGCTGTCCCTTTTCTCTTCTCTCTCTCAATATGTCATGAAATAGAAAGTCATACCCTTTATCATGTAGTGATGCAAAATATCCAATCATATTGTTAAAGCATTATCTAGGGATAGTTGTCAAAATCTTTTGCACTATGACTGAATGTTGCTGGTCCTTACTCAAAGCTACATTCCTTTATGCTGAAATTATGTATGGACAAAAGCTGCTTTTGCATTTAGATGGTGATGATTTGGTGCTTCTGGTTCTTTTGTCAGTATTTATTTCATCCTGAATTTCACCATGTTCAAAAAATTTCTGAACCTTCCTTGTAGTTACATTATGTAGACCTTTGCATAAATATGAGTCATTTGCATTGTAAACTAATTATGATTAGGTTGGAACCCCCCCATGGTTGAGAAAGTGTTGTAAAAGTGCCTAAATTGATTAATTTCCTCTAGGAGTTGCTGATAAAATTGTTATAATAGATTGCAAGTATCATCCAGATGTGCAGAAGAGCAAAAGCAATGTTGATATTAAGTGGCAAACAAGTTGAGCTTATTGAGTCAGATGATCTAGTGATGGCCTTTTTGACAAGATTTTCTTCTAGTGGATTTGTTGTTTATAAACTTCTTGTACATAACTGCAGTCCCATGTGGTTATGATGGTAGACATTTATGATAAAATCATGGCTGCATTATTCGTGCTTCACATATCACATGCTGGAATTTTCTTACTGTGCATTGCTTGCCTGCATATGTTCTTGGGTCTTTTTTTTTTGTAAGAAGTATGATTGGCTCAAGTGCAGTGAGGCTCCATTTCTCTTTCTCTCATTTTCAGAAATATGCTACAACTGTTGATGATCTGGAACATTTGGGTGATCTTGGCAATGGTACCTGTGGACATGTTGTGAAAATGCTCCATAAGCCCAGCAGGAAAGTCATTGCTGTAAAGGTTAGTACAATATCCACTCCTAGAGCCATATCAGGGGAAGTTCTGAACCTAACTTGGATACTGTGATATAATGAATACTTCATATGGTCTTGCATCCCTCAACATTCTTCTTTCCTCATAGCAAATGAGACGAACTGGGAACCGTGAAGAGACAAAGCGAATCCTGATGGATCTGGAAGTGGTCCTTCAGTCTCATGACTGCCCTTACATAGTTCAGTGCTTGGGCTGCTTCATTCGTGATGCTGATGTTTGGATCTGTATGGAGCTCATGGCCACATGCCTTGATAAGCTCATCAAGAAGCTTCGCCAGCCATTCCCTGAACCTATAATTGGAAAAGTTTCTGTAGCTGTAAGTTGTTTTGATGGCTCTGTATTTATGGCAGTATAAAAGGCTATCCATTTGTGGCTGTTATTGAGGCTTTTTTTTTTCTCTTAGACATTGAGAGCCCTCCATTATTTGAAGGAGAATCATGGTGTGATTCACCGTGATGTGAAACCTTCCAACATCCTCATTGATGAGAAAGGATGTGTGAAGCTCTGTGATTTTGGCATTTCTGCACGGCTAGTTGAATCAAAAGCCAAAACCAGGAATGCAGGGTGTGCTGCATACATGGCTGTAAGGTGCACCTGTCATTTTATTATTTATATGATCCTCATTCCCCCTTGCATTTTATAAGAAGTCTAGTTTTTATTATTATACTTATTACAGATTATTGTGAAGCGTTAAAGCAACTGTTTTGAATGATGTTAATAACTTATTCTTTCAGCCTGAGAGGATAGAACCACCTGATCCCTCCAAGCCTGACTATGACATACGTGCTGATGTCTGGAGTTTGGGGATCACTCTAGTAGAATTGGCCACAGGGCAGCTTCCATACCATGACTGCAAGACTGATTTTGAAGTCTTGACTCGAGTCCTCAATGATGACCCTCCAAGGTTACCAGAGATTTCAAAATTCTCTCGCGAGTTCCGGTATTTTGTTCAGGACTGGTAAGAAAGATGTCTTTATTAATCATGCAATGTAATCATTGGATAATTTATGATTCCCTCCTTTCATCTGTCTCAGTCTGACCAAGGATTATCGACAGAGGCCAAAATACAGGAAACTTCTTGAATATCCTTTCATCATACGATATGAAGGGGTACCAGTTGATGTGGCAGCTTGGTATGCAGGCGTGTGCCAGCAAATTGAAGCTCATGAACCACATTCTCAGGTGTCAATTTCTTCTTGATTCTGCATCCAAAAACCTTGTGCTTGATTTTCCCAGGAAGAAAGAGTAAGATGCCTGGTACCATGGAAGGGTATTATAGGGTGTTTTCTCTTTTCATCAGGTTGGAAGTGGTGCTACTAGAGGAAATTCTCCCAAAAAGTTGGGGGTTTCTTCCTCAGGGGGTTCTCCTCGTGTGGCCCCAAAGCCAACACGAGAAGTCTCACAGATGTTCCCTTCTTCCTCAAATTCCTCCTCCTCTCCTAGTTTGTATCGAGTGCCATTATCAAGGGAACCATCACCTCTTCGTGTTGGAGGAAAGCCTCTTCCATCTCCTGTTGTACCTAGGAGGCCATCTAGAGAGAATTCCCCTTGCCCTTCACGTTCTGCATTGGCTTCCAATGCTAGCAATTCGGGAACATCAGTGAACAGTCCATTTGTTCGCCATCATTCCTTGACAAGGGAGAGCCCTCACTATGGACAGCACTCTCATATAGGGGGTTCCCTGCGAGGAGAGCCACGTGACTGGGGTTCATATTCTACTGACATTCAGCAGCCTCCAAGTCCACCTCGAGAGACTCCTCCTAGCGTGGTCTTTTATCCAAACAAAAACCTCTATGTATTCCAGCGGAGTGCACCTGATAGTAGTGATCTCTTGGAGCGAGGAGCCAGTTCACGACTGGGTCTTCTCCCCCCACGGAGTGATAACTCCTCATCTACCAAACGGATTGCAGGACAATTACTATCCCGTTTCCTTGGTAGGAACAAGCCCACTCCCAATGTGGGATCAGAATCAGGGAAGTGGTACCTCCCATCACCAATACCAAGCTCAAGGAGAAGGTTGTCTGACACTGCATCCTCTCCCACCTCTCATCCAACACCATTCTTCATGAGACCCACTTACACTCCAGAACCAGTGCGGAAATTCCATTGAAAGCGAAAGCAAACCCCAAGTCATTCTCATTGTGGTATCTCTTTTTGAGAGCAGTAATCTGATGATATTATGATTGTACTAGGTTGACTCTTACTGGTGTTTCATGACTATCTCCCATAATAAAGTGATGTAGGCTGTCTCATGAATTTGTGATTGGCATTTTCTGAGGTTGAAGAGTAATAGGGTGGCTTTAATGAAAATGATATTTATTTGCTTGCAATTTTCAGCCACCAGCATTGCAGCTACTGAAATGAACACTCATAAGAATCATCAGCACTTCAAAGTCTTAGAGTCTTCATTTCCAGAGGAATCTGTGCTTCTTTCGGCCAAATAACAGAGCCTTCGCATTGGCTGTAGCACTCTTCTTGCGTGCTTGAACTTTTTCTATAAATTGCTTGGCTTCACTATCTCCCCGTTGTTCCAGAAGTTCCAGGATTTTTCTTTCTGGTTGCGTAGGTATATGGAGATGGAATTCACGTTATTTCGTTCCTTAACATAGTTAAGCCTCAGTCTTCTGAGAGAACCTACCATGGATTGGAGGATTTCCAGGAAGCGTAAGTGGGAGATGGATTTGAGGCAAAGATTTACGTTCCTCTTGTGTGACATCTCTTGAGAGCTTCTCGAGAGGTAGAACAGCTTCACCAATCAGCATGTTATGGGAAAGTTGCTTGTCCCTTACCGTGAACACCATCACGGTCTCATCAATATCTCCATCAGGAATCTCACTATAGAGGGAAGCATTCCAAAAGGACATGTTTTAGCACTACTCCGACCTGCAGCCATAAAATTTATATTGATATTGTGGTGGAAATAAAACCCTTACATGTTGAAGGCGTGGTCAAAGATGGGGAACCTAGTTTGCTTTTGAACTACGGTGCGCACTTTATCCTGATTCTGACCTTGCATCCAACTTCCCTGTACTTGAAGCGAGACGTAAGGATCTGGATCATCTGAAAGTCCAAGAAAGTCGTGCTTCCGCCATCATATGATCATAGCTATCTATCGTTTTCTAGAGGTCAAGGCGGGGGCAGGTACTCAATAATCGTTAGGTCTAAACGATAGGTAAATTTTAACGATCGTTGAGGCGTGTTATTAGATTCCAAAGGTACTGGTGAGACAATGGATGGTTAGCTAACGATAAGTCTTCATAACCTCATAGACCCATTTGTCCCACAAGAAATACACCTTTCACGTGTTAGCCTTTTTTCTTTTTCGTACGGTTATACTAGCAACACGAAAGAGGTATAGTACTTACGGCCTGCAAATCATTAATTTATTTAAAGATAATGAAACACGGCTTTAGCCGTGTCCATGCTCTCACTGTGAATGGATGCTATCAATAACGGGGCTTACTGTTGTTCTTGCGAGGACTGCGTAGTCCTCTACCATTGAGGAGAAGAGCGTGAAGGGTTGTGTTGTTGATGTAAGCTTGGATTGTCAGGGCTCCCAATTCTCCTGGTGGAGTGATTTCTTTCTGAGTTTCCCATCGTGCTCTGTAATAGTTCAGTATCAGGCGGGGAGTCGACTGGCATCGCAAACGGAGGATCTGGAGGAGGGCTTCCACCTCCTCTGTTGGTTTCTCGTCAAGTAAACATTGTCCATGAACCATTTCGAGGGTTCTTGCCAGAACCAGTGGATTCTGAAAAAAATTTTCGGAGAATAGAGCAAATTTCTGTGCAGTTCTCGAACGAAACATGCCGAGTGAATTGTAGACTTCTCTGGGAAATGAACCAGGTAGGCTACAAATTCGCTTTTCTGAGATCTTTCAAGAAAAAGAACGTTTCCCTTATTCCCTACCGTGCAATGATAATAATAATAATAATCGAATATATGTCCCAATTTGACTTCCATCGATACAGGGAAACAAACAAGCTCTGATTTAATAGCATCTCTCTTTGGAAAAAGGAAAAATCTTGTCATGTACACGAAGTTCTTATTCCCAGGGAAGCTTTCAATTGCGTGATGTGATTCCCCCTCGAACTTACCCGTACTGAATGTTGAAGGTCGGACAGGGAGGTCTTCAAAAGTTGTGTCCAAATAGCAAGGGGAAAGTTCTGGAAGACAGATTCAGGTAAATTGGAGCGACACCGATTCAAGGTAGCATCCACATAAAGAGCCACAGCATGAGCTTTGGCTTCCACTTTACTTTCGTTCTCCAACGGCAAATCGCAGGCGCTTCGAACGTACTCGCATAGGACTTGATTGGCCTTGAAGCACAAAAAAATGTTTAAAGAAGGATCGAGATAGGGCTAAAAATCTCAGACGCATCACACCTTCTCCACGAGGTCATTGATTAGTTTTCCCACGGTCTCCACGATGCGATCGGATCCATATTCTAAGAACATTTTCACAGCGTCCTCCGTCTTGGTCAGCTCCTGCAAATGTTTCTGAGAGTCCAAGATCTCTTCTTCTATTTCTTTCTCCTCTTCAGCAGCTGTGGAAGAGCCGACGGAAAACTGGTCATTCATAGTTTCCACACAGATCAGCCTTTCATTTTCGCTCAATTTTTCCTTGATTTCCTTGGTGAAATCTGACATTTTCCCTTGAGGAGCTTGCAAATTAGAAACGATGCCGTATGAGGCTCTGTCATTTTCCACACGCGGTTGTTTTTAAAGCAGCATAACATAATTTTAATTATTTCTTATTCACCCAGTATCCCCTTCACTTTCTTTCAGACTTCTGGAAATCACAGCAGAAATTCAATGGATAATACAGTCACAAAAGTAAAATGAAAAAAAAAATTGCTATAATTTTTTTAATCGCATTAAAATATCACATAAAATAAACAAGAAAGGCATTGCATTTTAACTGACCAAGACATTGTCAAACTTAGTATAATCTATGTATTATTCAAACAAAATAATGACATGCTCTTCGAAAGGAATCATTCGTTCAACAGCTAGTCCCCGTTTGAAAAAAAAAATTAGTTTAGAGAACGACTCTCGAAAACAGCCTTTATACATACCAATTTTTTGAGCATATAGAGTAAACCAGGGGCCGGGGTAAGTGACATTTGATTCAGTTCCCTTGAAACTCCATTTGGCAGGAAGTTTTCCGGCAACCCAATGATACCAGCTTGTTTTACACTTATTCCCCCCCCCCCCTCCCGAATTTTTTACTTTTACATGTAATTTTCTTGACTTTTCTCTGATCATTTTTAGACTTTGAGATTCCCTGATATTCTCATATTTCTGATCTGCCGGCATCGTCACTTAGACTTAGGAAATTTCTAATAATTTAGATACTATGTCATGCAAATTCCTCTTACATCCTCGCCCGCGCCACCGGCAACTAATGAAAACCGTTCCAAAACTCTTAGACGTTTGACGTCTCGTAACCTATATTCACGTGAAGGGAGCACCTGAATGTTGTCATTGCCTAAAAGTTTTGGAACAGCTGAACGCTAGCTCTTTCGCTGTAAGGCGTAGTAAATGATGATGTCACCTGCTGTATTGACAGAGACCCTCATAACCTCGGCCATGGCAAGGAAGATACTTTTCGTGAGAACCGGTGTGATGCGCCGTTCTTTACTCCTGGCATCTTGGATCTCCTTCAGATTCCGCAGGAGGCTTCCATTCATCTCGGATGGCAGCTCCACATTCCCCGATGCAGCCGGTTTCTTTTTACCGTGCGGATCTTTCGGATCCGGCTCCAACCAACGGGGCACTTTGCTCAGGGAACACCGCACGTGCTCGACGCTGCTCAACGCCCAACACATCTGCGATGCAAGTGTAATAAAACTGAAGTATTGATCGCAGCGATTCCATATTTATCGGGAAGAATAATTGCGGAGGCGTACTTTGTTGGAGATTCTGAAATCGCTGTCAGTGCAGAAGTAGTTTCCTTCCTTGACCGCGAAAGCCACTTCGTCCGCATAGAACACGGCACAGTCACAAATGCACTGAAAACAGGATGACAAGAAACGTCTAATCAGTATCAAATCCCTCAAAGGAGTGAGCACGGTCATGGTACATAGGTACGTGCTGCATAAATCTGACATTCTATGGTCACCTTGAGAACATGGCAGACAAATGCGAGTCCACTTTGGTCATCTGGCCAGGCGAGTTGCTTCCAGAAGGCAGTTATCTGGCAAAAAAAAAATCAAGCTCATGAAAGCTGTAGGTTCCAATAGGAAGGGCAAGGCACGAGAAGATTTTCCTGTGGTTCCTCTTACACTGTGGAAAACGTTTGTGGTATTGACGGCAGACATCGAGTGAAGAACAATTTCGTCTAAAGGTTCCCAGGAATCAAGGGCCACGGCTTTCTTGATGCGATGTCGAGCCTTACTCCGTGCTATTTCCACCCAACCGTAAATAGCGGGGCTGAACCACTTGTAGTAATGCATTAATCCGCAGACTGAGTCATCTAGGCTCTTCCCACATGACCGCTGTTTCTCTCTGCAATGCCAAAGGGCCCCGAGATGTCAAAGGAAAAACAATAGCCATATTCTATGCCTCAGGGACTGAGGTATGTCAGCGAGTATACCTGAGAAGGGTCTGAATAGCAAGATAGAGCTCAAAGACTTCAGATCCGGCATCGTTAGAATCATAAGGATTCTCCATTTCCAATCCTACGGAAGACAAACGATGCTGTGTGGTGCCGAATTCCAATTGATCGCACCAGTCTCTGATCACTGGCTTCACATCCTCTGTCAGCTGAAAGTAACAACCTCGAAAAAGTGTACCACCGTGCCAATTCTTCAGCCTATCCTGTGTTGACCCACCCGAATGAAGGTTTCCGACTAACCTGTTCCTGGAAGTCCAAGAATGCAATGTCGCAGTAATGGATGTCTGCGTATCTGAAGGAAAAAATATAAAAGGTCATTTGATGTAAGTATGGTTTTAAAAAAAATATGGGTGGATTTTTGAACAGAGAACTATCCGATAATGCTGCTTTATTTCCAGGAAATATCATGTATTTTCCTTGGAATAAAGCTGCATAATCGGATAGTTCTCTGTTCAAAAATCCACCCTATAGTTGTTTTGAATGAATGTGAAAAATATTCTATGGCAGACATAATTACAATGTTTTGAAACAGTGAAATTTAACTGATTGGCAAGACAGAGTACTTCTTAATGCCTACTACGTTGATGACATCTTGCTCTAGTAAGTACCAAAAAGGGGGACTGATCACACTTACCCCGAATGGCCAAATACTGTATTTTCTCTCCGAAGAAAATGTATGATAATGTGTATTCCGAACGGCATGCTTTTCACGATTTCTTGAGACGGAAACTCACTGGAGAAAGACATCGTGGTACGCATTCCGCTCATCGTGTAGTTCTGCATTGGCCATGCTGATGATGTCAATGTACATCCTCAATGATCGAACTTTTTCCTCCGCCTTGGAACTGGCTTCGCATTCTGCCGATGCCTTCAAGCACTCGTACCTTAGGAAGTTCATCGCATGATATTATGTCACACGGAATTCGCCTCTGACCATTTTCGCAGTGGAGGAATAGAATGTGCACCATTGCTCGTTGCCAGTATGGAGAGCTTCTTCGATTGCCTCTTTTTTGGTTTTCTTTTCCCCGATGTCGACTTTCCAGTCGCTCAAGAGTCGATGAAGCCTGTCCAAGTACCTGAAGAACACCGGACGAACTGTATTATTCAACTACCCTGCAGGTATGCGATGAGACAATGACTGCTGGGATAGGGAAAAACCTTGCCTCAAGAGACCACCTGCGAAGGTCTTGCCAGAACACTGTCTTTCCCCCGCTAGGAAACGATGCCTTTGGAGGACCTCGAGTCCATGTGTCCAAGCATCACGCAGAGAGACCATCAGCCTGGATTTCTGAGGGGGGAAAACCGGAAGTATCTTATCACGTGATCCTTGTGGACCGAGGTGTTACAGTGCAGACGTACCTCCATATCCGAGAGTTCGCTGCTCTCTCGTGAGGACGGGAATTCCTCTAGAAGTCGATGGAGAAGAACGAAATCCAGGCTTTGGCCAGATTCCTGAACTTGCCAATGACCCAGCCACGTCGCTAACTTTTCCTGCGCCCGGGACATGGCCCAAACGGCTGCACAGTTCCTCAACAAACTCGATGTCAATGACGATAGCACACCAGGCCAAAGGTATGACGGTCCCTTGAACAACGAAATGTAAATGGAATCTTCCAAGGAAATGTCACGGGAAGTATTCGTCTGCTCTGATCTCCCTTACCTTGCAAGACTCGAGTTCATTTTGAATGCAGAGATTCCAGAGACGGGCAAGTCCAAGTGAAGGCCATGCCATCCCCTCTGGTGTCCATTGCGCATTCAATCGAATGCTCAGTCTTATCTCAGCCTTGTACCCTTTGTATTCCAACGGAAACCATCCCGTGGTGGTCCCTGCCGGTAAATCCTGCATGGAAAAAAGGGCAAAATTTAACCTATCTTGAACTTTCCGTCTGCAAAGTAGCAGGCATCATGCATCAAATCGAAAGGTCACCTTCACTTTGAGGATGAGTTTGCCCAACTGGCTCCTCCCGGCGCTTAGGGCGTGCCCATTGTGAGGGACAACCGAACGGCAGACAGACGCAACACTTCTCAAGTAACGACCCAATCCAGTGGCATCGTTCACATCTTCAATGTGCTTCAAATAGTCTTTCAAGCCCACATCTTCTGTCGAATGGTCCCTTTACAAAAGAGATTCAACCCAGTCATGGAAAGGCGAGAATGCAGGCATTAAACTGATGAATATATGTGAATGTATGAAAACGGCAGTTGTACCTGACGACCACGTGCAGATTGTCATCTTGGCAATTGATACCCAATCTGGAAAAATGCGAATTCGTTGTATCGCTCATGTGTATGATACACCCATGTATATAATTTTATTGTCCGATGGACTTGAACTTACAAGGTAGCATCCTCGTTCCATTCTGGTTCAAGGGTCCTCTTGCTGACAGCTGTTTCGAACATTTGATTCCCAACTCCTTTTTCATTTAGGTACAAGCGGCAATACGGATCACTTGTGCCTGATTGAAGAAAAGCATACGCTCGACTTTACTTATCACAATGATAGCTGCATATCTAAGGATTGAAACATGCACCTAGAAACGGCACATGCAATACGAGCGAGGAAGAAAGAGAATCGAAATACCATCTGGCTGAGTTGCTCGCAGCCCTCTTGCCTTGAAAATTCTAATATCCATACGCCAAACTGGAGGCTGGTATAAGAAGGCAGCGAAATGTCATTAAAAATGTTCTGCTTGATATCTCAAGTCGTATATTATCTGGCAAGAAAACACTTCTGATTTTTGTCCCGTAAATCGCTGCTCCTATTTTTATGCAATTTGCAATGTCTAAAAGCTGTTATGTTTCCAACAGTATTTTGAAATTTCATTCAAATTCGTCGTGCCGAGACAAGGCTATGAGCAATTATTCAAAATAAATAATTTTACTTCGATAATATCCCACGCTAAGAGAGAGGAGTGGAGGAAACGCCTTCACGCTGTGATTGGATGTCACGGTGACCTCATCGTATACCTCTGTTATTGAATTCATTCTTTGGGCTTGCCGTTTGTTGCATAAAGTTTTGATGAGCTTTCCTTCAATTAATAACTGATGAATGAATGCCGAGAACTTATTCATTGTAGCAACTCCAGCGTGAATGGAGTCCCCCGCCCATTTTCAATTTTAGATATATTTAGATTAAATGATTGGTCAGAGCCTTACTTTGACGGAACGAATAGCATGAAATTCCTAAATGGCGTAAGGATATACCAATCGATGTATAATGCAAGTTTCGTGAAAAGAGCTTCAGTAAGAGCAGAGATATGTCTTTAAAAGTTAGCCCTCAGGGGTCTCTCTTATGACGTACTCATACGAGTCACCTCGTATGGATATATATTTTTTGCTTCATAAACTGAATCACTATGAGAGATAGAGCTCACCTTGCGTTCACTCGCTGCTGCCTCAAATTTATCCCAACTTCCATTGACGACAGAGGATGATCCTTGAAGAACCTTTTGAGCGAGTTTATAGAGGCCCTGCCTGGTTTCTCCAGAGATCCCGGGAGTATGTCGCACTGCATACAGCACATCCGACCTGAGCTCCTCCAGAGGCGCCTGAGGTTCCTGCCCCGATACCGAATCAGTTAAAGACCCATTGAGTTAAGCAAGTGATCATCCAATATATGAACCCATACATCATATGTAGGAGGGACAAGAGCGATGCTGATGGGTGGAGACGAATGAGACTTGCTCTGAACTCTTCGAACGGTCAAATGTCTCTGAAGGGCAGCATTTTCTTTCAAATTTGTGAAGTTCTCGAAGAAGCCACTATCGGACGCCTCTAACCTGCACAGGAGAAACAGCAAATTGCAACGAAGTACAGGAAGGGCGTGGTCGCTGTTGGTTGAGGTAATTTTAAATTTCCCTTTCCGATAGAACGTGTTCCCTTCCGCCCCCTCCCCATTCTACGCCTAGTGACCCTTGTCCCGTGACAGACCCTGGCTTTTCGTCACACCACGTGCTCATGCATGAATATAAACGGCTTTTCTTCTCTCTCTCTCTCTCTCTTGCTTCCTCCCGAAAATGTGCCATCTCATTCGGCATTGGATGACTGGAACGGATTCTGGGAAGCGAGCCTTCTACATATTGCGTATTTGAATATCTTCAATCTTCCACTGTGCTTAACAGTAAAACTTATTTTTGTGACTCAAGGTAAGCTGATCTTCATATCGAGGAATCTCTTTATTATGAGATGTGCCACGGGCCTCTTGCGTTCGATAATCAAGCAATTAATCGCACGATTTAGTGTATGATATCTTGAAATAAAATATGTTAAATATACGGGTTGAATGTCACATCGGTTGACCCTGGATAACTATGTGGAATCAAATGTAGGCCCCTGCAAGATGCTACCAAGAGAACGAAGCATGTTGTGGATGGAGGGCTTGTCCTTCAAACCCTGGAGCGTTAATGACCGTGAGTTGCCACTACAACGCCTCTGATATTGCTTGGCTCACAATTAAAACAGGCCTTGCGTATTTTAGCACCTTGAGAGAAGCATGCGATTCCTTTCCCCGTAGGAACTGAGGGTAAGCCTCTTAGGGAGAACAGCCCAATTATAAGAAAGATTTTCCTAGACTACGAGAATTATGAGGCTCTGCGTTAGATAGCGGAAATCCACGTCTTCATCAAAACCACAGGCCATGCGTTACTTCTGTCGTATTTCACATCCATCTTCCATCCAATTTCCTTCCAATTTTCCATCAGTGCAAAAACGGCTTTCTTAGAAAGCCTTTATCTTTCCTCCTGCAAATACTAGACTATGGACGCCTCAAATACTTTTTTGAAAATAGAAAATCCCGACTTGTCGCTCTCTTGCCCCGAGGCCTTTGATTATATATTCCATTGAATTGTGTGTAAAAAAAATCACAGCAAGGTAATACTAAGAGTAAATTCTAAAAGTTCAAAAGTATCTCTTTAAATCTTTGTGCAAAATGTACACCTTGGCAGTATTTAAGAAAATATCTGCCGATGCGATTCGATGATACAAGGTGCCTGGTGTAAAGAAAAACGCACAAATGCCATAAGTAAAACTCAAGTGGGGACAAATATTTTGATTCTTACAATGATGCTTCCAGACAATTAAGAATTAAGGTTTCTGAAGGTATGGTTTGCTTTAGAGGAGAGCTTTTGGGAGAGCCTTTGGGAAGAAAAATCCTAATGGTTCTATTTTTGCTAATAGTTATTGCAAAATAATTTGAAAGTAGCATCAGCGCAGCCTACAGGCCTCTGAAGGATCACGCAAGTAATTAAGTCATTAATATAAGATGGAGGATATCTTATCTTTTCAGAAGAGATTAAGAATCCTACAATAATCGTTTGTTCTTCGGATGAATATGGTTGGCGAAAAGGTTACATGTCCAAACCGAATTTCAGCCAGAACTATGAAGGAGACGCCTTTCTTCCTAAAATAGTTTTTTTTTAAAGAGTATTCAATAGCTCGGTAATATAAGTATTATATTTAAAAAATTTTAAAAATATGTGAGCTTGAAAACCCATTGTAAAAGAGATAAATCCTCGTCGCGCAGGCTTATGTCGATCCATCACAAAAGCATTTGCTGTGGGCTATATGTGACGCGCGGAAGCTGAGTTCTGAACATCCAAGTACGAGACCAAGCCACAAACCTTTATATGAAACCTATGCATATCGTGAGTGGAGGAAAGGCTCATGTTCTCCAATTTGTCATTCGTCCACGCGAATGACTGTGATGGCAATCGAAGGGGTACAACGGCGAGCAATAAGGATGATTAGGCAAGTTAGGGAGGGACTTTCCTAGGAAAGTTTATGTCGTTTTGAATTCGATTCCAGGGAGAGAAGGTTATTAGGTACCCTGGTTGAGGCTTTCAAATTTATAATCGCGGACTGGAGAAACATATTCACTCCCCAATATATACTTTCCACTAGGATGCACTGCCTTACATAAGCTTAGAGAGAGTAATTAGCGCATGAAATAAGCTGCCTGATGATTAGATAGAAGCTGATATTGTAAGTTCTTTAAGAAAAAGATGTCAAAGTATTCCAAGAATAGAACTACTCAAGGCTGCAGACATGCACATCCGCGGCCTCCATTTTAGATCGTCCTTATCCCGTAAATAAAGGCAGCGTTTTTATTTGTTTTGAGTGCAGTTAAATCCTCACAACCATCTTTGGCTTTCCTCTCTTCTTAACCTCTTCTTCGTGCCCTTGCAAAAAGTATTTTTTAATCCGAGATATAATTCAATGTTATCTAACTGTTTAGATATCTAACTTGAGCGCGATACGGGCCCAGGACCTCTTGCGTTCCGAAAATCTAAAGGCCTATAGCAGAACGTCGGTTTTCTGAACGTCAGTCATCCAAAGGTCCGGTTCAGTTCGATTCGACTGACCGAAAGATAAAAAAGAGAAAGGGATGGTAAACACGCGTAATTCAGCCAGCGGCTGAATTCCGATAGTCGATCTTTTGTCATTGTAGAGCTTTTGACCTTGAACCTTGGGCAGACTTGAGCACTATACGCGCCAGAGAGGGCCCAAGGGCAAGTGGGGTTTGTCCAATCTCAGAAAGGATCGGGTGGATTGAAGTGTTAATGGGATGCCATTCCTTACCTGTCGAATCCCTGCCTTGCTTTTGCCTGAAGCTTGTATTTTTGGGATATGTGAAAGAGGGCATTTTCGCTTATCCGCACACCCTTGGGTCACGGTTAGCTCAGAAAATTCACGCTCTACTCTACTCTACATCCTGCCTTTCTAAGTCAAGCTGAAGGAAAGCTTTCTTCTATTGCGAACACGATTACTCACGTAACGATAGGCTTCAATTGCAAGCCACCTGTGCATGTGATAGTTGGGGCAATGAGAAGACAGTTATCGATTTCTTTATGCAAATAGCCTTTTGAGCACAAAGAAGTTTTAGCCTTGGTAATGCACACACAAACGATGGTTTTAACGCGCTTCGTCACAGCTCGACGCTGTAGTAGGCCTGTATATGATGATTAATTTTTTTTTTAAGTCCCGCCGTTTTCGATGAGAGAAAGGTAGCTTCGTGGTTGGAATCAACAATAATAAGTTAGACAGACATTGGAAGGCTACGAGGTGTTGGAACGAGAGTTAGGATTTCGCCAATACCCTTGTCCCGAGCCATACAATGCCCTATTACACCATTTACTGGTGGATCATTCCGCCGCTAGTGGCATGTGCTCGACCATCTCAGAATTCAATCAAATTCGGCATGCTCTCGGATTTTGGTGAGAATAGCTTACAGCCAAAATCGTATGCCTACACGGCAAACTGGGGAAAAGAGATGCGGGGATACAAATTTGCCACTGGGGCGGAAAATGACCTGAGACTTTCAGCATTTTGACTTTCTCATGTGATTTATCTGATCGATCCAACCAAGTTGTCATTAATAACCGACTTTCCAATGTGAAAAATCATGTTGGAATTCATAACACCTCGAAATCTCTGTAAATTGATTCACAGGAGCATGGACTTGTACCCCTCCCCAGATTTTATACAGGTGTCGCGATTCCCACATAGTGAATCGAAGGATTGTTTGTAATATTGGTAACTCTGGAATTGAAAGCGTTCCTACAAAATTGAAAAAGTACGCGACTTTTGGTCGCAAATCACGTCGTCGAGGAAAAAATTCGTTGTATGTAATTCGTCGAGGGAACTCCTGTTGCACGTGACTATCTATATATGTCGACATGACGACTAGTCTATCTTCCGTCGCGAGGTCATACCGTCTCAGGCCTGATCTTACAAGGGAATGAGACAAGGAAGAATAGAGGAGTCCGAGACCGGTTCTCACCTATACTGCCTTCGATTACCTCTCTCAATTCAAGTCGACATTGGCAGTGGGTGTGGGTGTACGTGTTTTCACCACGGCATCTGTCGTTCGTATATGAGCGAGGAAAGCCTTAACTTTTGTATCATGGTTACTTGCATACGCGATAAACGATCGTGGGATATATTGGCGTTTCGAGAAGCGCAATAAATGCCCTGCCAGACTGTGAACCACGAGTAAGGTGACCGGACGGATTTAGGCAGGACGTCCCTCTTTCAGACCACCTGTCCATGTGTCCCCCCGTTGAACTTGTAGTTCTAATACCAGTTCTTGTTCATATTTCAGCAATAGTAAATATAATCGTCAATACAGCAAATACATTCATATTATTTTTAGAGAGGCAAGGGAAGTATTTATTGGGCGTCCCACTTTCGAGACAGAAATCTGGTCACCTTAACCATGAGATTTAAGTGGAAACGACTGTGCTCACCCGTGCAGTTGAACCCGGGAAGGACAAGGTTATACAGGTAGTGCGTAACACGAGGGAACGTGCCCGTGAAACCCTGGACAATCCGCAGACTATCATTGCTTCCGTATGTGAGGATTTGCTGTCTTTTCTGGGAAGTTAACGGAATGGAAGTAATGAGAAATTATATTGTCGACGAATTTTATTGCGACCGATTTTCCTTGCGACGAATAGTCATCATCGACGAACTGCCTTGCGACAGATTAGGTGCGCAGACTTTTAATGCAGCAAAAAGTGGTTGCGACCAATTTTCGTGATATCCGTTCTCTCACACCTGACTCCATCCATCCAATTGTGTAGGAGACCATTTGATGGTTCAGGAAAAGGTACTGAAATGAAACTATCGCTCATTCTGACATCTCGTAACCTTTCAATTTCAATTGCCTATCTAACTTTGCAAATTATCTATCTAAATTCGTGAAGCTACCTTTTTCTCTTCGAAGACAATGGGGCTTTAAAAAAAAACCACCTCATACAAATACAGTAAGCCATCACCCGCAGAAAAAGATGGGGCTTTTTCCTCACCCTATCAATCCCTATAAACCCTGTTACCCTAAAAACTCCCTACAAACGGTATTGCACTCCACCTCCACGCTTTCCATCACTTCAGGTCATCTTCATGCACTCCATCACGAACACTTGCGGTAGAAGTAGCTCCAGAACGAGAAAGCTCTTTGCAC